TATATATATATATATATATATATATATATATATATATATATATATATATATATATATATATATATATATATATATATATATATACTAATAACTGTATATATATATGTATATATATATATATATATATATATATATATATATATATATATATATATATATATATATATATATATATATATATATATATATATATATATATATATATATACATATATAACACGCTATCAATCGTGTATTTTTTTGAGGCTTTTGCCTTGTTTTCTAGAACAGTGGTTATTAAACGTAAACAATGTCGGCACTTTATTTCTTGGATATTAGTTGTTGCGGCGCTAGTTTGTCTACACTACCACCGATACGAGCCAGCTTAGTTGTTGAGGCGCTATCTATTTGCTTCTTGTAAGGCTAAGAGCGGGAGGGGAGGTCTGAGAAAGGAACTTAAAAGGGACAACAAAGCATCGATGTGCTTTTATCCATCAGTACCAAATTTGGAATGGTCTCAAAAAGCCGTCTCAATATCTAGCGGCCTCTCGCGCGATCGATGTTTTTTCAAAAGAATTTTGCCAACAACAGCGTGTGTTTGATTGTAGGAAACTGAATATACAAGAGAGTGGGACGGTGTCAATAGAATAAAGATAATCTAAACGCAGCTTTAGTATTCTATTTTTCAAAACAACCATTAGGTCAAAAATGCAAGAAAATTAATTTTAACTATAAAAAAAAATACTATTGGCGGCTGTGGCCCCCCCCACCCCCCGCCTTAGATGCGTAACCTTGTTTTCTAAAACCGAGTTATTTAAATGTAAACAATGTCTGGGCCTGGATCATATTTATCGGGGCGCGGGTTTACATATACAACCGTCAACCGCTGAGTCTAATCCTTGAGTGTATGTTAGTCATGCTACACATGTCGTCGCTACAATAAACCAACTGCTCACACACTTGTTTGAAAACAAATCCGACGATCCTAACAATCCTAATCTCAAGTACAGATTTGTCTAACATGCGAGCTTACCAAAGCTGGTCTTATTAGACAGGGTAATACTTTATTATCCCGCATTCGAAAATATCTGTTTATCTGGTATTCAAGTATTTATAACACACTAGCCGTCCAGGTAATTCCCTGCCACTGGCATTTGTGAAAAGGATCGTGACTTGCGTTTTTATTAAGCACCGTGTTGGCTATCCGGTGCCGCTTGGGGTCTGGAAATATATTAAATTTCTAACATCATGTCTACATAATGTAATGACGTTTGAGCGACAACAAACATAAACGCAAATGCAAATTAAAAAAAAAGATAAATAAACACTCACGTCACAACAACCACAATCATTAATATAAATACAAACCATCACCATAACACCACCCACACATAAACCTTTACTCAATAATAACATTTGCCACAATTATATCGTAAAAGTGTACATGATAAAAATAGGCTACGACAACAAATGTTTGATTTAAAAACCAATCAGTAGGCCTAGCTCGCTATCTCTAAAAGATATGTATCTTCTGAACCACGGTAGACGTTGAGGCGAACAATAACTTACGTCTTAAAAAATGGTTTAAACAGGCTGATCTTGTAACCGCTTAAGATTTGCTATTAATTAAGAAATGTAGGCCTATTATAATTTCATTTACCAAATTGTTTTCTATATCTTTACAATAAAATCATATATACTTCTATTGTCTTTGAAGAATAAGGAATCGGGAAAATTTCGATTAAAATCTTTGCGTTAAAGTGGGTCAAAATTAAGTGGAAAGATTTGCCAGGGAGAGTTATAATGCAAGTGTTTTTTATTTTTTTATTTTTTTATTTTTTTTTTATTTTCGACCCATAGGGCCGATAAAATAAAGTTCACCGCGCGTGTAATTTTCAGTTGAGGCTGAGGACACAAAGGAAAGTTGTATGGATAACCAGATGTGATGTGATGGTACCCAGGTTTGACTGCGGTGATGGTGAGTCACCTAGTTTCGGGGTGGAAAGGCGTGTGGGTACACATAAAAGGGAGTATGTAGAACAAATACGCCTACGTTGGAAATGTTAAGTGACACAATAATTTTGACTGGTAAATCAACATTAGCGACTACACATGAGACAATTTGAGTTAGGGTCAATTCAACTTAATTGATTCTTGGGCAAAAAAAGCAAACTTATGTATTAAAAACGTATGTTCCATAGAGTAAACGAAAATCTCTCTTTTTACTGTGACTTATCTAGTAATTGAAGCAACTATTATTTAAATACGTCTGAGAGTTCAAAAAGAAACTCTATTGTAAAGACTTGTAAACTTTATGAAAAAAATGGTTGCATTTTATTGTTATTTAATCTACTGATATTCCTAAAAAAAAGCCAGAATGACTATATATACGCCACTGAATAAAGTTAATTTCATAGTTGTGGTAACATCTGTTGTCAAAGTTTTCGCCTCTACAACTAAGTACAAGCCACGTCACTCGCCATGTAGAAGTTATAAATATGTCAGTTTATGTCAAAACCAACAGTACTCTATATCGTAAAAGTTAAAGAAGAAACACTAACATATTCTGAGTCGTTACTGGAAACAAGCTGAGAGGTACGTTAAACATAAAAAATATTTTAAAATAAAAACAGAAATTTAGATTTATTTTTTTTTTTTTGAGGTTTAGTTGATGTTGTTTCTTTTGAACAGGAACTTCGTATCATGTATTCGATCATGAAACTTCAAGTGTTGTTGTTTTTTCATTTGGCTACCTTATTTTGTTGGACCTGTGTAGAAGGAATAAATGAAAAGAACAGCACAATTGTTGGTGACATTGAAAAGAAGTCAGGGACATATCTTCAAAGCAGATCTGCAGATGAAGAAAATCAACAATTATTTTACGTATATTCAATTAAATTTCTCTCTCTCTCTCTCTCTCTCTCTCTGTATATATATATATATATATATATATATATATATATATATATATATATATATATATATATATATATATATATATATATATATCAGAGGCGTAGCGACCCCTCCCGGCACCCGGGGACAAACTTTCGATTTGCACCCCCTCTCGAACTTTTCATTTGCACCCCCCCTTCAAACTTTCGATTTGCACCCCCACATCGAACTTTTCATTTGCACCCCCCCCCTCAAACTTTCAATTTGGCGCCCCCCCCCTCACTACGCCTCTGATATATATATATATATATATATATATATATATATATATATATATATATATATATATATATATATATAAATATATATATATATATATATATATATATATATATATATATATATATATATATATATATATATATATATATATATATATATATATATATATATATATATATATATATATATATATATATATATATATATATATATATATATATTGATAGGCCTCGGTTGCAAACCGTGTAACTGCGAAAATGTAAATTTTACAGGAGAGACAAAAAACACATGCTGTAGCGTAAAAAATATATATGCCTGAGCTGTAGTGTGAAAGATAGACAAACGTTCAAAGCATTTCTATGACTTTTTTTCCTTTTCTAAATGGTTAAATAGGGTGCTCATACGCTCCTTTTAATATATTTGTACTAAACAAATTAAAAAGTTATTTCTTCTCTTAATTATTATTTTTTTTAAATATATACTTAAGATTGACATAGCATAAAAATGATATATATATATATATATATATATATATATATATATATATATATATATATATATATATATATATATATATATATATATCCTAATATATAAAAAGCCATGTGCGCTCTTCTCTCTCTCTCTCTGTCTGTCCGCAAAATATTTTCGCCGGACATCACGTCCGAATCGGCAGCGATATATGGATACCTTTATACGAACTTTTGGTGAAAATAATATGTTAGATGTTTTAAATGTATAACCACAATTTTATTTAAAGAAGAAAAATAAAAAATTAAGGAGTATTCGAATGTTGAGAAACAGTATTATTTATGCAACCGGAAAAGTATTTAAACTTGGGACAAGAACACATTTAACAGTGACGTCGCTTATTGTTTACACTAAAAAAAGAGCACGAAACTGATGACGTCATCTTCCGAGTTTAGAATAAAAAGAAATGAACTTCTTTATTCAAATATGATTTAGAGCTATGTACGCTATGAAATGTATAAAATACGATTTTCTCGGCCTAAACTTAAAAAAAATATTTTATCTATTTGGATTCTAGATCTAGAGATTGATCAAGATCTAGATATTCTAGATCATCTAGATCTAGAGATTCTAGATCATTTAGATCTAGAGATTCTAGATCTAGATCTAGATGATCTATAAAGCTAAGTTGTCAGGTGCCCGATAGGGCACTTTGTGGCGCCGCAGGCGCTTCAAATTTGGCAGGATCTTGCCTTTGGGCGACAGAACACGGGGGCCGGTTGGCCGAAAAGTCTACGATGAGGGTGTCAAAACTGACCTCGACTGACCGGCGCCTTATATGGGCGAATTAATTAAGCATTCAAATTATCAATGTTTTCGAAAGCCTAAGCGAAGCTGGGCAGCATGCCTAGTATATATATATATATATATATATATATATATATATATATATATAACAAATAATACAAATACAAAAAAAAACATAAAAATGAACATAAAAGGAGAAACAATTACATAATTATGTTCCCGTTATATTTAGTTACGAACTATTATAAATTATGTAATTTAAAGAATATTAACGTGGTTTTTTTTTTAATTTTTATAACAGTATACAAACCCCGTAAGTATAAATACATGTTTATTTTTTTTTATGCAAAGATAATGCTTAAATATGTTTGATCGATTTCAAAACGTAGAATGATTTTAATTTAAAGATTTAAAAATATAATAATAAAGGAAAATGTAATAATGTTATTGTAACAAATACTACCTAAGAATTGTTATTATTCTCACCTACTAAATTTTACTCAAGTAATACTTAAAATGTTTGTTACAAAGATAACAATAATAAATTACAACTAAACTGTTCTTTTTCCTTTCAGACAAGTCCAATAGAAATTATAAAACGTCCAGGTGGTGAAAAGATTGACATTCAGGGGTACACAACTGCAGAAAACCCAAAGTATAAATATATAAATAAATCATCAATCCATCTGTTAAAATCTTATCAAAATTCAATTAACGAGAGAATAGATTAAGAGATTGACTATAATATTACATTATCATGATAGCGATTTCAAACGTTCTTCATTTTGTTTACAGTTTTATTTTCTAAACTTTGTTTTTTAGCTTTTTTTATTGGTATAAGTTCAAAAACAACTATGGTAGTGGTCGCAATAGATCTAAACATAATTTAAACACAATTTTCATGAAAATTGTCAAATAATGTATATCCTACTGGTAATATTGAAATCTGATGTTTTAAATAAGTCAGTGCAAAAAAAAATAAATAAAAAAAGTAAAGAGGAAAATGGGTTTTGTCTTTTAAGAACGGTTCTCTAACATCAAAATCGTTAATATCCACAACGTTGTTTAACTGCTAGTAACAAGCGACTCAATGAGTTCATTTTATTTTTACAGATTGTGCTCTTATTCAATTGTAAAATATTGACATTTAGCACTTCCTCTACTAGAGTCAGGGTCTTTTAATAAACTTTAGAAAGCCTATAATGAAATAAATTTTGTAGTATGTTACAGTTAGGATTCAATTAACAAGTTTGCTAGCATATCTCATTTTGTTGGTAATGTAGGCCATTAAATTTAGATGTTTCTTGATTTGTTTTTTTTTAAATCAGAAGCCACATTAATAAAAGATATTAAAAATAAATATTGGAAATGCGTATATCATACAAGCGCTTACAATTAAACTCAAAATATACCTATAATTTAATTAACAATACACTAAATGAAAATAAATGAATTTCTATATAAAAATAAGCATAACAATTTCAAAAGAAAATGTAAATTGTGGAGCGAATTGTCTTATTTTGATTTTTACTAACATATTAGTATATATTAGATTGTTATCTAAACTTTATAAATTTTAACTTTATTTTTACTTTCTTGTATACGGAGAATATAGGAAGAATTGTAATTGTCAAAAAAATATAAAAATCGAGATTTTCACAAATCACAAGTATTGCACGGTATCCGTCTATCTTGCCGTCTGTCTGTATGTCACTAACGTGTGTACTTCAGTATCGTTACAGGTTGACACATTGTATGTGTTATATCTGTGTCCATTGTCGATTGCTAGTGGGTTAGTCCCCCGTCTCCGTCCACCACCTGAATTGGGACATGTCGTTATCTGATACGACAGCATCCCCGCCCCACCTAGTGATGTGCAGGCTAGGGGTAGTACCCCGGTCGCCTGTTCTTTGATCTGAGTCCCACCCAACTGATCTGGGATGCAAATTCGGGAAAACACGTAATGAGATACCGTATTGTATTTTAGGTTAAGCCAGGGCATAGACCCCAGGCTGGGTGGTGAGGGCCTAAGACATAGGACAGTTGAACGTTGTCCTTAGAAGCATGTAGATCTATTTGTGTTTTCTTTTATAAAGTGTGGTAGGGCTGGCCCGTAAGGCCGGCCACTATTAATGAACAAGTTGTTTCCTTAGACCATAGTAAGACTACCATATAGAGTGTAGTTTCATTTTCTATCTAATTAAAACCATCTAGCAGCAAACCGACTTATAATAGTATGTATTAGTAAAAAAATGTTGTATTATCTGGTTTCTCTAAAATCGATAAGTGATTTCCGGTGATCGGTTATAGTAATTAACGCTATTTATAATTTGTAAAAAAAACATAACATCAATTGAGCTTGATTCATCTTTCTATAGTCTTTCTTAGGTTGAACAATTCGATATAAAATAACAACCACTTCAACCGGAAAAAAATATTTCAAACTTTTTCAAAAATAGGACAAGTCTTGAAGACAATGTATTATAATATAACATTTTATATAATTTGATAAATTATTAATTTCATAAATATTAAGCAATGTTTTATTTAAAAAGGACTACAGTTCACACATTTTTTTCTTTCATATAATTCGCTATTCTTTTTTCTTTGCGATTCAATTCATTTTTAAAAATGAAACTGTATTATAAAAATTAAAATAAATAAATAAAAGACTAGTCTATAGCCCCGATGGAGAGCGGCGTTGCCTAGAAATAGAGAGTTAGACTGCTAACTCAAATGTATCGAGTTCAAATCCGTGTTTAGGTAAGGAGAGCGTTCCAGTTTCCACCCAGCGCCGAAGCGTACCTAGTTCTCGTTATGGAAACAAAAGTTGAGCAAGCAGAAAAGTAGTAAGCATTAAAATAAAGTTAAATGTATTGATTTATTGGACATTGCACCTACATCAGGTCTTAACCAACGTGTCAAAATAGAAAATAATTGATTCCTTAAAACTGGTCAAAAATGTTGCTTGCAAGTTTAATAAAATGTTATAAATGTCATTATTATCACACACATTTTCATTTTTAATTGATAATATAATTTTTTTCACAGTTTTTCTATAGACATTCGATGCCCACCCGCAGGTACTGGAGAAATTGCCTCTCACCTAAACGTGCAAATGCATTACGACAGCCAAACACGAGGCGCGTCATATACTCGGCGATTTGGTTTTGTTATGTACGGCAAATTTGACTTTCACCAGCAAATTGTTATAGCAATTCAAACAAGTTCAGGTTATACTAAGGTAACTTCTACATTTTCATATTAATATTGCACAATAGATTTTAAACAGTTGGTGTTTATTTAGTATGCGTTTATTATTACGAAAAAAATATGGATAACATTAGTGAATAGTAATATAAATAATTATTATTGAACACATTTAATCCAGGTTGATGCAATCCTGGCAGCAGGTTCGACCGAATTACCAGTCTCTGATTGTTATGACTATTTGGAATTTTACGGAGACCTAAAAGTAGAAAAAATCGTGATGTCATGAGAGGATCAAACAGCACATCAATTGTGTTTTATGTTTTTGAATATTGTGATGTTGTTAAGAAAGCAACACATCAATAAATATTGGGTATTTAATAATGTATTTCACACACATGCATATATACAAACACATTAAACAAACAGTGCATACACATACACACATGCCATGCACATTTACAAAAAAAGTTAAAGTTTTGTTTGTTGTTACGTACAAACACTAATAATTTTTTTTTAAACGTCACTTAAAAACACATTTTCGCACACATACCCTTTTACACATATAAAAAGACAAACATAAATATTTTTAGTTTGGGAAGGGTCTTGAACTTAATGTTTTTGTTAGTTTTATTTATTGTTATCTATTACCACTTAAAAATAAACCGGGAGTGCTCTCCCCTAAACTTTCACTAATTTTCTTACATAACAAAATGGGCGACGGCAATTCGGGATATAGACATGATTTTAAATCCAGTTTTAATTACTTGAACTTTTAAAAATAGAAGAGAATCTCGTGGAATAAAAAGAATTACGCACCACGTGAATGGCAAACAATTTGTGTATAATAGTGCGGAATATCATACATTTTCTTTGTCTTGCGGAATATACTAATGAGAAAACCACCTAAAACACTAATCACAGCAAACCACACTGTTCAATGTTCCATAAAGACGAAAAATATATAACTATATATTATATTATATTACCATGGAAAATATAAAGTAAATAAAGAAATTTAGTTACGAGTAGGCAACTTTAACACACCCGTGTTTAATTTAAACTTAAAATTGCGATCCCATAATCAAGGCATTTGTTTTTAAAATCTTCAATTGTTCTGTTCTTAATATAAATGTATTCAAGAGCCTCAATTCGTGTTACTCTGTGAACATATTTAGCATTAGCTTAAGTAATAATTTGAAAGGTTTTCATCATTGCGTTACCAATTGTATACTCTTAGAGGCTCGAACTTGTTTTCTAAAACTGAGTTATTTAAAGGTAAAAAATGCTTGCGCTTGGATCATATTTATCGGGACGGGGATTTAACGACTGAAAAACACCATGCACGCCATGACGAGTGCTGATAGAAAGCCCCCTATTACACTACCGCAAAACCGCCGCGTTTAATCATCAAATGTCGCGTGTCTTGTCAATATTGTAGGGTGCTCCTTAAAACAAAAGTAGGCGCCTTACTGCTCACAGTATAGTGCAAGGCGCAAAATCAAACCCAGGCAGTGTGTTTGCGGATTCGCCTGATAATGATTAGTTTGTGTCTATACCGCGCCATTTTATAAACATTCTATCGCAGTGTTTAAAATTGAACGTAGGCGACAACTCACTCGGGATAAGCCTAGGGTGCCAAATTCTATATAGTCAACGATTATTGTTGCCCATCGTGTCTTTAGTGTGTAGGTTTAAAAAAAAAAAGGAACTTAGGTGCCATAGTGCTCAAAGAGTAGTCCGGGACGCTTAGAGTAACGCAATAGCAAGGGCAACGTTGGCTATGTCAGTTGCAGTTTTATGACTAAATATAGTGGTACTCCTTTCCCGCTATACAGGTCGCCCAATTAACGGATACAAAGTGCTAAGATAGCCACTCTGGAACTTTTGGCGTCAAACCGTGTATTGACAAAAATCACAACGTACCGGGCGCCGCCAATCAAAAGTTTATTTTTTTTTTTGCAGACACCTTCCCGAGAATATTCTTATCAACTCCCCAAAGTTTCATGGCATTCGGATAAACGGTGTCAAACCGCATCCGACATTTATTTTCGAATACGGTTTTTATAGAAAACTCGCACCCAACTCCACCGAGCAAATCATCAGAAAAATTCTTCATTATCTAAGCATGCTTTGACACATATTGACCGGCTTCAGACGCGCAGCCACACTGCAGTGCATTCTGCTTAGCTATTGATCTAATCCGAACCTAATGAAATGCTTATTGCAACAACACATACACTTGTTTGAAAATAAATCTCACAATCTCCAGGACAGATTTGTCTAACATGCAAGCTTACGTATGCTGGTATTAGTTGACAGCGTAATAGATTATTAACCCGCATTCGTAAATCTCTGTTAATCTGGTATTCAAAATTTTATAACAAGCTAGCCGTCCATGTAATGCCCTGCTCTGGCATTTGTGAAAAACTATTGTTAAGGGCCATGAATTGTATTTTTTATTAAGAATCATGTAACCGGTGCTTGTCAGGGTTTGGGAACAAATTAAATTTCTTATTACATGTCTACATAAATATGTTGACGTTTGAGTAACCACAAACATATACGCAAATACAAATTTAACAAAAAAGGAACAAGTTTGTCACAACAACCACAACATAAATATAAATATAAATCCTCACCACAACACCACCCACACATACACCCTTAATCAATAATAACATTAGCAACAAACATAAACGCAAAAGTGAACGCGAATGAAAACGTGAACTTGAACGTGAGCATAAATGTAAAAGTGAACATGAACATCCATCTCCCACCACAACCTTAAAAAAAAATTTAAACGTAAACACAGACTACCAAACATAAACCCAAATATCAACCCAATTCAAATCACAATCACGATCAATCTCATAAACAAGCACTGACAATCACAATCAAAGTCAATCATAATCACATTCAATCACAATTACAATCACAATTACAATCAGAATCACAGTCAATCACAAGCACAATCGCTATCGCTATTACAATCGAAATAAAAAGAAATCAAAATCACAATCACAATCACAATTACAAACTGTAGTTGTTTCTATTGAATCATAATATTTGTTTAACGTCTATAAATAAAAGGTAAATACATTGTTAGATTTATTAAGATTTGTAAATGTAAATAATTTTGACATGTGTGGTTCTTTGCACTTTAAGTTTACTAGCACATTTAGTTGAAAGTTAAAACATATTTTGGAGTGAAATGAAAAATTTAAAAAACGAAAACCATAAGACTATTGAAAAGTGGGGATGCAGTGCAGTATTAATTTTAAGCTATCATTCCATAATTCCTTACGAGCTTTGCAATACAGATTTTGCCAAATCAAAGGTTTTTAAACACTATGGTCATCCGGATGTGCTTCTTTCAAAAATGTTTCTTGTAATTATTGCCTCTAATATCGCTTGGTCTGACACCTATCTCTTTTAAAATTCCAGCCTCAAACAATTTCAGGTTACATTTCACCAAACCCTAGAACTCTAAGTATCTATTCTCAAACCATTAACCCCTATCGCCACCAAACATATAATCACAAACGTGTTCAGTTGAATCATATCTGTGCTTTCAATGTTACCCAAATACTAGTTGTATCTATGATGCGCCACTGCATTGCGTTAGTATGCCTAATATAGTTTGGTCTAATTACATCTTTTAATCCAAACCTAATTCTGTCATTATCAGCGCTACCCATGTTTAGCCCATATATTAATCCAAATGCAACTTCACAACATATTTAATAAACGCAATCCTAATCTCGTATGAAAACGTATCTATCATGCGGGCTCAACCATTCAGGTCTTAATACATAACATTATACTCCAATAACCTTTATGTGTTAATCCTTGTTAATCTAATATAATATAGGCTACCTTACAACAAACATGTTATCCTCCTAGAGTCTAACTAGGCAGAGAAATTGTATAGAGGTTTGTTTATTTGTTTAATTTTTATCTTTTTAGTGTTCTGTTCTTAATTAAGTTGCGACAGCATATGTTACGACAGAAATATATGCTTTAAACTCCGATCAATAGGCCTTCCTTGCTTTCTCTAAAAGACGTTTACCTTCTTTACCTCGGCCGACGTTGTGGCGAACAATTACTCATGCCGTAAAAAAAACGTTTAAACAAGCTGGTCTAGTAATCGCTTTAGATTTGTAACTAAATTTAGACATTTATTATAAATTTATTTTAAGGAACAATTGTCTACCTAAATACAATAAAATCATTCTTGTACAGTTATTGAAAAAAATAAGGAAACCGGAAATTTTGAATAAAATCTATACATTATGAATGAGTCAATACTAAGTAGACAGATTTTGCAAATGAAAGTTAAATGCAAAGTACATTTTCCATATTCTTTAATTTGGGACATATAGGGCAGATGAAATAGAGTTCACTTGGCGTTTAAGGACTTCAGTTGAGACTGAGAGCACCCAAGAGAATTGTGTGAGTGACTGGATGAGATGTGAGGATGTCCTGGTTTAACTATGATGATAGAGGCACCTAGTTTGCGGGATGAAGAGGCGTGTGAGTGCACATAATAGATAGTATACAGTATAAATACGTGTATGTTGAAAACAGAGTGACACAATATTTTTGACTGGAAAATAATTCTTAGCGACGACGCATGCGGCTAACTTCAGTTAGTGTTAATTCAGCTTATCTGATTATTGGGTAAAAAATAGCAAACATGTATTCGAAACATACGGTCCATAGAGTTAACAAAGATTTTTCTGCTTTTCTATGACATCTCGGGAAATTGAGGCAGATATTATGCAAATACATCTGAAAGTTCAAATACAAACACTGTTGTAAAGACTTGTAAAATGTATGAAAAATGTTTGTATTATATTGCAATTTAATCTAATGATAATCTTTTTAAAACCCAGAATGACTGTAGTAATACGCCACTGAATTACGTCAATTGCATAGCTGTGGTAACATCTGCTGTCAAAGTTTTAGCCTCTAAACTAAGTACAAGCCACGTCACTCGCCAAGCAGAAGTTATAAATAAGTTAGTAGTAAATACTGACAGCACTCTGTGTCCTAACAGTAAGATAAGGAATAATAACATATTCTGAGTCGTTTTTAGAAACAATTAATCTGAGAGGTACGTCAAGTCTAAAATATTGTTTTAAAATTTAATTTTTTAATTTAATTTTATATTGTTTGTTTTATTTGCGGATATTTCTATCATAGATACAATCATGAAGCTTCAAAGGTTAGTGTTATTTTTTTTGACTACCTTACTTTGTTGGTCATGTGTAGAAGGAATATATGAAAAGAACTGCACAACTGTATTTGGCAAGGGTGAGACGCAAGGGACAATTCTTCAAAGAAGATCTTTATATCAAGTAAATCGACAATTATTTTAGTAGCCTATATATAACATTATTTATATATATATATATATATATATATATATATATATATATATATATATATATATATATATATATATATATAAACATATATATATATAAACATATATATATATATATATATATATATATATATATATATATATATATATATATATATATATATATATATATATATATATATATATATATATATATATATATATATATATATATATATATATATT